AAAAGGGGAGATCTCCCGCCGGGCAAGGTGTTCTGCCCGGGGAGCGGCCAACACTCCGTGTGATAGTTCGGAGATGTTCTATATATGCTGTTTATGATTCGGAATGTTAATAGCGTGATTTAAGCTTCGGTGTATTTCGCTTGCGGCGCGACGACAGCGCCGCCACAATAGTTGTTAGTAGAGCCTTACCTACTACAGGTATATTAGAGCTGTAGCACAAATATTATGGGTAGAACCACGGTCTCACAGAATACCAGTATAAAACAACAGTTTGATACTACTGTTTTACACTGGTATTGTGTGTTTCGTTGCGTGAAGAGAACCGGAGACCCTTTTTACTGGAAACAAGGCATTCCATCCTAGCCTTCGGGGGTGATAACGCATCTGCCACAGCATCCACTTACCATTAGCTGTACTGTGTGCTCGTTTGTCATCTTATGCTATAAAAAAAGCGCTTACATTGAAATTACAGGTTAGTGTAGACCTACCTCATTTTACGAAGCCTATATCTCAGTATTTAACAGTTGGAGTAATATGTACCACGAACTAGTACAGGCGCCAAGACTTGGTTGTCTGCAACACGCGTCAGAGCTCACGGACTAACACTTGCTTAGTCTGAGTCATAACAAAGTACCTGTCCTGCCGCATAAATTTTGCTCTCGGACTCTCGGGGTCTATTCGTACGCAGTGTATACTAATTCAATATCTTCAACGATCTGTTACAGTAGTCCACAATTTCCTTTTACCATACAGTTCTAACTTAAAACTTAAGCTACTTAGAACTTCTAAGTAGTCTGCCTAACAATTAAAAAGTCATCATACTTACACAACTTTGTTTAACTTTTAAGTTTCTCGGCTCTTTTGACTTCAGAAAAGTATATAAGGAAACTTTAAACCGTTTGTAGAATCGTTAAATTTGGTCCCCTGGTCAGACGGCTGTTGTTTCAGGTTGGTTACGGGAGCAAGTGTCACAAAGCACCCACTGTCGAACTGTAACTCGTTGTGAAGCATTAAACTATACTTATTTCCGTTTTGTTGGCAGCCTTTCCTTTTTAAAATTCCCGACAGTAACAGTAAATGTAAAAAGTACTGATACGTACCCGTAGCGTAGTGGCTTAGCAATGAGTTGCCGCATTGAGGACCACGGGTTCTAATCCTGCCCGGGTATGACTTGAAATTATTGGTTTGTTTGTCCTGGGAAATTTATGTATGTATGTAATAAGTATATGTGTAGGACCACGGGTTCTAATTCTGCCCGGCTATGACTTGAAATTATTGGTTTTTTTGTCCTTGTGAAATTTATATGTATGTAAACTGCCTTAACGATACAGAAGAAAATTCTAGTGTAGGGTAACGTTTTTCAAGTAATTAAACGCTGCAGCTATGTTATGGTTGTAGCACGAATGGGGCTCGACCGAGGAAGGACCAGCTCTTACAAAATACCAGCATGAAATAGCAGCATAATGCTACTGTGTTTCGTATGGTGGGTGTAGAGAACTAGGGACACTTTTACTAGCAACGAGACAGTCCATCATGTACCTCAGGAGTAGCAACGCATTGCATTTTGATTCTTAGTTAAGAATATATGTCTATGAGCCACAGCATCCACTTACCCAATATGTTTGCTCGTTTGTCAACTTATCTACCAAAAAATCTCACATCAAGTTCATTTTTCCTCCTAAACCTTGCAACGATTCTATTGCTTAAAGGATTTAATACTTTTTCTCCGTTGTTAGTTAACTTATTGCATCCGACGTGGCTTTCAGTTTTCTTTACCTTCGCAGTGGGTGAAAGTTGTCTGCATTTGCGAATCCGATTTATGTACTTGATTTTAAGTTGAATAAAATGAAACTAAAAATTGGACTTATAACAAAAATTGGAGTCCAATTCATGACACTTAAAAGAACAACCAATTTCAACATTATAGCTTCTGAATTCGTTACCGTGAGTCCACCTTGAAGATGGGCCTCCCTCTTGGGGGAGATATTTGCCATAGCGTCGACGCTTGGCAAGCGGGTTGGCAACCGTAGTTTTATATTTTTAATCGTTACTGGGAAGACGCTGCTGCCCATCTCCTGCTTTGTGTCCCTCTGTCGCCTCTTACGGCACCCGCGGGATGGCAGGGAGCTGTGGATATTCTTACACTGTGTTCAAAGGTAAAGTGAACTATAAAAATCCCGACGTCAGAAGCTTTATTTTAGTTCTTAGAGGTCGGCTTTAACTTATTGTTAAAAGTATTTTGGACCCTTCCAAGTGAACTACGTCAATAAATACTATTAGTATTAGCTTTGGCACTGATAAATCGAAAATTATTAGTGTCAAAGCTACATTACCTTTACATCAGTTCACATCAACAAAGATATCGCGTAACATAACATAACTTTTTCGAAGTCGACTAAAATTAAAGTAGTTGTAAATTGGGCTGATTGAATTATTTAGGCCTACTAAAGTAAAACGTAGCTTTTTATAAAAAATGCTCTCTTCTTTATTTTTCATTTGCAATTACCACCGTATATGTGAGTTTCTACCAGCATAGAACATACATATATATACATATATATATATATATATATGTATATATATATATATATATATATATATATATATATATATATATATATATATATATATATATATATATGAACAAGAAAAAGAGAATTAATGAAATATGTATATTTTTAAATTCTTGTTTTAGGTTATAGAATTTCTTTTCTGCTTTCTCGATAGCTTACCTCTTACCCAGTTCTGCCGTACAGATAGTAATGCTTGCATTGCAGTGTTCCGTTCAGAAGGCAATAAAAAGTCAGTAAAGTTACAGGTTGAGAGGCATTGCACTTTAGTCCTCAGAGGTGACAACGCATCTGCCGTCGTAGTTAGTTGCAGATGTCCAAGACCTGCAGCAGCCACTTTTTTATGGAATACATGTGATCGTTTGCACACGGTCCACCTGATGGCATGTGATGGTATGTGAATGTGTGTCCATCTAATCTCCGTCAGGGATCAAAATGCAAATGTATTGTCACTCCTGAAGACTAAGACGAATTGCCTCGCCTTCAATAAAAAGTGTTTCCAGCTCTCTTCACTTACCATAGGGAACACGACTACATTAAGCTGTTATTTTACGCTGGTATTCTGTAAGAGTATGGTCCTCCCGACGGTCGGCCTCGTGCTGCAACCATATTATATTGCTAAAACGTGGCTCTACCACGTAGAACCATGAGTTTATTTATCATGAACAAATATGCACAGAGTTTTTACTGTTCAGCTACCTGTTTACTTCAGTAACATTACACACGTCAAACAAGTTATCCATAGAAATTTGTTGTTGGAAAGTTTTGCGAAGACTCGTGAGGTTGTGTTATGCGACTTGAATAATAATGGAGAGAGAAAAGTGTAGGGTTGTAAGTGTAGGGTGTGTTTACATTGAGCTAAACATAATTAAAGTTGCTAAGGAAATTAGAAATGAAGGTAAATAAATTTCGCTCACTAGATGGCGGTAGTTGTAACTGAAGTTAAATAATTATTCTAATGATGTGTTACGGTAAGTAAAAAGTAGCGTTTAGCCTATGTAACAAAAAAAATTAAACAAAATTCACCTCTTATAAATATATATATATATATATATGTATGTATAAGATGCGTCGGGGTAATACCGGACGATTTTCGACTAGTTACAAGTTACGGACAAAAAGTTTATTATCTCGACATCCATAGACGTCAGATTTCTGAAACATGGCGCAAATCGTTAATGGTTACACGTAATTTACGAGTAGCTATAAGAAGCTTTTACTTTTCAAAACTCAACAGTTTCTGCTTAAAACGTGTGCGAAGACAAGGCATAATTTTTTATATGCAAGATGAAGAATTGGCCATCAAGGGGAAGACCGGACGTCGCTAAAAATCGCAAATAAAAGTGATAGGGAAAGACTGGACGGACGAAAAAAATACAAAAATTACCTTGTTTTATAAAATACTGCGCAGCACACGCCCTACTTTTCGGAGCGACTGGCTGAAACTTGGGGTCGGGGCAGAATAAAATGGAGTCTTGTACCATATTGCAAGCTTTCAAAAATATTGCATAATTCACCGGAAAATTGAATTTTACGGTCTGACCGCATCACCGATCTTACCCCAATGCACCATATACGAGGGTGGATTGAAAAGTACTCGGCCTAACCAAGAAAATAAACACATACTAAATCAGTTATATTTTTATTTTTCTACATAATCGTCATCAAGTTCAATACACTTTTGCCACCTCCCCTTCCAAGCATTTAGACCGTTGAAAAAAAAATGATTCCTTAGAGTCAAAATATGCGTCTACAGCTGCTTTGACCTCGTCGTTTGTCGAAAATCTTTGACCTCCCAAGTGCTTTTTTAGGTTAGGGAACAGAAAGAAGTCTGATGGTGCCAGATCAGGTGAATACGGCGGATGCGGTAACAGTTCAAGGCTAAGCTTTCCATTGACGTCCGTCGAGTTGGGGGTTGATATTTTTTTTTACAGAAGGATGACATTAATATAAGCACACACGCAAAGTTTTAACATGCGGAAACGCGTAGTTTTTGAGAAAAAAATTATCGAAAATCAATAATTTTTGCAATATTTATGTCAAATCCTACCATAGATTATATCGTATTACAGATATATCACGACATTGAATGTTCCGTTTTAAGTACGGTTAACTTGTCAAATGTTGGGTGACATTTCATTTTATAAAAATTTACGTAAATAATTATATTTTGTATCCATTTTAATAGTTTTCATGCATGCATATATATTTAGCAGTTTATATTTAACTAAATAAAAATTATTTTCATTACGAGCTATTAACATTAAAATGTGCAGTGTTTACGGTCTTTTCCCGGCTTGTGGAACGAAACGTAAAACTGACGCTATTTGGTGTTGTCAGTGTCTTCCTCAGTCACTGTCATCGTTTGTGTTCCTAGCAGTTGAGATCGTTTACGTACTCCTGTCGTGAAAACAACGTTTGACTACCATCATGGCGTCTCCGAAGCCCCAAGTTTCGTGTTCTGCTGTGCCGTCTGTAGAATTGAGTGTAGTGAAAGTGTTGGACTCTGATGAGCCACTTGTCGCGAGCTCTTCTGCAGGCACCCCCTGTGTGCAAGTGTTGGACTCTAGTGAGCCACTTGTGCCCATGACTGTGCTATCGAAATCAATAGCTGGTAGTTCCCGCGCCACTGTTCCCAGTACCGTGTCGGTACTGCCGCCTGCGTCTCCAACGTCGTCTGAGAGCAGCGTGGCTGATGCGGAACCTCAAGCTCCTGGTTCGTCTGGCCGAAGAGTCCACTACTATGCCGAGGAAATAAGGTTGGTTCACTGCTAAATATCGCAAAGATCCTTTCTTACAAATAGTGGCAGCCATAAATTATGTTTATAAATTAAAGTAGTTATAAAAGTTAATATTTTGGTGTTATATTGGGTGCAATAGCGAGCGAAGCGAGCCTAGGACGTGGGGCACCCCGACTCGGACAGGTTAGGTTAGAAGGAGATGACGGGGTCGAGTGAGCGAGCGAAGCGAGCGAATAGACCCCGTCATCTCCTTCGTGGTTATTTTTTTGTAAACCACTCAGAAGCAGGAGCCCCGCAAAGCGGGGCTCCGTCGACTGGGCTTCCCTCTACTGCACCTCGTTAAGTGGCGTGGGGCTTCCGTCCCCCAACTCTCTCTCCCCATAAATCAGGTTAAATTGTCATAAAAATTACGAAACATAACCTCAAAATGAGATTTTTAAAAATTTATAAAAAAAAAACTAAGCACGTCCGGCAGGAAGGGGATGTAGGGGGTGACTCTACAACTCTTCTCCCTCCCCCCACACCACCCCCCACCCCCTAATTCAGGAGACCGAATTGTAAACCTTACCCGTGGCTTCTTATATAGCACATATGTAAACTTCACAGAAAAAGCTGACGAGTAAAACAGTAATTAGATTTCTAATAGGAATATTTTTGTTTGTTTTAGGTGCCATTGGAACATGTATAAAATCATAACCCGGCTCAACACCCCAGCTCAGTGCATTGCATTTGCTGAAGAGCATAGGCTCCTTCCTACAGAACATAGGATAGTGCTCATATCATAGGAGACCTATGGCGTTAAGCTCCAGCAGTAAGACTGGTCAGCTTGGCATATTTCGATGCAGGAAGAGTAATTGTCGCTCTAAGGCAGTGAGTCGGGCAGCGGGAACATGGTTCGAGAATGCGCGGCTGTCCATTGAGTTACAATTTTTACTGATGTATATGTTCAGCCAAAAATATAGTTATCATCAAGTTAAATTAGAGACAGCCCGTGAAGATAAAGAAACAATTTTATCAACAAGGACAATAACTGACTGGTTTTCTTACTGCCGAGAGACAGTAGTAGTTTATGAATTGGAGCACCAAGAAGTTGGAATGGCAAGATTGGTGGTCCAGGCAAAATCGTGCAAATAGACGAATCAAAATTTGGAAAACGCAAGTACAACAGAGGGAGACACATTGAAGGCCATTGGGTGCTGGGAATGATAGAAAATGGGAAAGATGATTTGAGATTAGAAGTATGTCCCGATAATGATAGATCTGCGGAAATGTTGGTGCCACTAATACAAAAGCATGTGGAGGTAGGCACTGAAATCCATACCGATTTTTGGAGAGCCTACGATTGCCTACCTCAATATGGATATATACATAAAAAAGTTAATCACAGCGACCCTATAAATAAATTTGTGGCACCAGATGGGACACACACACAACGAATAGAAAGCCACTGGCGAAATTTAAAAGTGATGTTCGGTAGAGAAGGTTATAAAACAAACTTTACAGACTGGCTAATTGAATATTCTTGGCGAAGGAAAATAAAAATAGCACATAAAGATGTTTTCATAGAATTAATTAAAGCAATACAATATGTATATAAAATTGATTAATAAATTATGAATTTTATTTGATTTATTTTAAAAGTAAGTAAATAAAATAGGTTAGGTTTAACTTATGTCGAAGAACCGAATTGGTTGACCCCGACTCCACTTGGTACAAGTCTGTCCTACCCCTAGAGTGTTATTATAGAGCCGGAGGCGCGTAGGGAGAGCAGCCTCCGCCTGCTGTAACAAATGCCTGCCTGCGATTTGTTACGCAAAGGCGAAGAGGCTGCTCTTCCCGCAGCGCCGTAGACATTGCAGTCTCAAAATAGACACAGAAATCCCTCTCAATCAGTCCCCCTATTTTTTTTCTGATGAAAGGGGTTCCCCCTTCCGTAGGGGGGAACCCCCCTCCCCCAAGGAGGAGTCCTGGTTTTTTACACTTAATATTAATCCATAAAATGAGGAAAATTTTCTCAGAATTAAAAATGAAAAAACTCGAAAAGGGGGGGGGCTCCGCAACTTTTCCTTTTAAGGGGGGGTATTAAACCTCCCCCTCCATCCCCCCTCCCCCTCCCCCCTCAATTCGATGGACGTCAATGGAAAGTCGTACCCAGTTCAACGCCACAGTTGTGAATTTCAGCCATTGACTGTACTGACGTGTGAACACGGGCGTTATCTTGATGAAACAGGACTTTTATTCTGAGCATTCCTCGACGTTCTTCTTTTATTTCCTCTCGGAAACGACGTAGTAAGGTGCAGTAGTAATCAGAGTTTATAGTCTGACCCCTTTCAAGATAATCAATCATAATCACACCTTTCGAGTCCCAGAATACTGAAGCCATCACCTTATTTGCCGACAAAATCGATTTAGCCTTTTTAGGGGTAGGTGAACCAGGTCTTCTTCACTGTTTTGATTGTTGTTTTGTTTCCGGTGTACAGTAATGAACCCATGTTTCGTCCGTAGTAACAAAACGATTCAAAAAATCATCTGCATCGGCTTCAAATAACTCCAAACAGTCGCGTGAAATAGTCAATCGCGTCCTTTTATGTTCAACTGAAAGCAGTCGCGGAACCCACCTCGCAGACACCTTGTGGAAACCCAACTCGTTGACAATGATGTTTTGAGTTCGTTCATAAGAGATGCCTATAATCTCGGCTATCTCTCTAATTTTTAATCTGCGGTCTCCCATTATTAAATCAAGTACTTTTTTAATGTTTTCGTCAGTAGTTGACGTCGAAGGCCTTCCAGAGCGGGGTTCATCTTTCACATTCTCTCTACCACGCTTAAATTCTGCTATCCATTTTTTGACGGATGAATATGACAGAGCACAATCGCCTAATGTACTGACCATGTCATCATGGATGGCTTTTGATGATAGCCCCTTCTTATGGAGGTACTTAATGACGGCACGCTGCTCGATTTGCTCCATTCGCGGAAATTATTTCCGATTACTTTGTTAATAAATTTATAAAATCACAACTAATTATCGCACACGTTTCGAACTTCACACAATGAACTAGTCTGAACTGAACTAAATAATGTGGGTAGATTTGATTTTTAGAATTGAATGGATCTGTGTTAGGCCAAGTACTTTTCAATCCACCCTCGTATATAATATTAAATAAGTGTGTAAGTACCTATTATAAGCACCACAGAATAAATAATAGTACCTACTATATATCTATACACACATAACAATGCCTCTGTGGTTGCTTTATTTTTTTGCACATTTTTAAATCTCTTTTTAATTTATTACTTTTAGGAGTATCCGTAGTTATTATTACTATAATTGATATCTTTAGTTTATCCATTTTAACGCCGATTTGTCAATTGTCGGATAAACTGAATAACGGATTGAATATAAAAGTAAAACAATAGAATTAAACTAACTAGGTAACTGTAATTTTAATTTGTGTATGTTGTATAATGTGCTATGAATAAATTCTATCTAACGATTGAAAAATCGTCCCCTAATCGAAATAATATAAAATATATAACTAATATTTCAGAATGATTTAACGTTCCCTCCGTTAAAATTTGTCAAACAATTCACCTCATTCTAAAGTGAGGCAGCTCTGGTGGCAACAAGTTACGCTGCTGATTACTTTTTCTGGTTTTTCTAAGAGATCTGACTCCGATAATTTTTTTAGGCTTACTTGTACACTAGTAAGTGTACAATTGAACTTTAATACTTAATTGTGACATTTTTATACTGTTTCATACGCCTAAATCATAATTATCATCATCATGATCAGCCCATAAAATTTCACAACTGGACACATGGACCTGTCACGTGCCGTTATTGTCTTTGTCACGCTCGCCACGAGACGATACACCCTGTCGCTGTTCAGGTGGTTACACCGCCATCTACCGGATGCCATAAGATCTTTCTAGCATACCCCATAGTCGCCTCTTACGGCACGTACGGGACTACGGGATGAAATGGGGTGGTAGATTACTATACGCCGTCACGACACGACTAATACACCTGTATCTAGTAGTAAATATCAGCATGGAGATATCGTTTTAGCGATTTAAAATAAAAAGTGTACACACCAAATTAGGAGACTCTAAGGTAAACAAACTCCCTTGACCTTTTCTCGTCTTCCTGGGTGAACGGTAACTTACAGTTTAAATGACTTACAATAAATTATTTAAAAAAAATGGTGCGCGTCAGTTATGACGCGTGACTGGCGTTAACGTTTTTTATTAAATACTCTGAGCTTACAATGCAGCGTGAGTTTATTCATATCTATTTATTCGCGTATGCGCCATCTAGCGAATCTTATTTGTAACACTGTCACCTTATGTCTTGTAAGTCACATCAACCAATGTGATCGATAAAATAATCTATAGAATGAAATAGATGGCGCTACCATACACGGATTTAAAAATAAATACGCGAGCGAGGATGTGTTGCGCACTACGGCTACGCTAGGGTAACAAGCATAATATCGACAAACTTTTTGTCGTATTGTATTCATAATTTATGATTCGCAGCGTTATTGAAATGGATTCGACTCGAGTAAATTCTAAAAAAACAACTATTATAAAAAAACAAGTATTATAATTACACAATAAAAATATGTACATAATCTAATATATAAAAAATAGTTTTTGATTTTTCTTTTTTTATGCGCTGACATAACGCTCAACAAATTGCGGTAAAACTTAGTCTACATAACATATTTTTTGCACTTCCGCGAAGCTTATGGGTATGGGCATAGTTGAACCCAGTTGGTGGCGCTCTTGTAGATCCAGATATCGCCCGTGCGAAGCGGGGGCAGATCGCTAGTAGACGTTAAAAAATCTATTAAAATTGTTTAGAGTTAGCCCTTTATTAATGGGCCTTTATAATTAAATTTAGTGTGTTAAATTAAGATTTTAGTACCCGGGCGACCAAGCTTTGCTCAGCGTTAGAAATAAAAATGTTTTTCTCGGCGACGGAACATATCTTAGCAAACTTGGAAAATATTTTTAACTGCCTCATGTTGAGCTGAGGGCTTGTTCGTATTCCATTAGGTCATGGGCAGCCATATTTAAAGTATTTGTCTGTCTGTCCTAATCCGAGCAAATCTTCGGAATCGTTTAACCGACTGTAGGTGAAGAAACTTCACGAGCACAGAGAGCGATGCCAGGATGCTATATTTTTTTTTTGGAAAACTTGGAGTTTTGTTCGTTGAAAAAACGAAAATTTGATAGAATAAATAGTCTTTGATCATCTTGAAACTAAACTACGCCACATTAATAGATCCTACTTAGGAGTCGGGGCGTCTGTCACCCAGAGGGGTTGGCAGAGACTAAAATCTCTCGTTTAATATCCGATACACCTCTTTCGCCTGTTTCACATTTTTATACCTACGCATGTGCATGTCCGTCACAACAAGTCGGTCGACTTCTTGTCGATTTCTTGGACATGTCCAACCACCGAGGCGTTCCTTTCTTAATCGTGATCCCAACATCTTGCAGACATATATATTATCATTTAATTCATCAAATTAATGTTCATTGGATGAATTAAATTCCTATGTAGGCCTCATGCCTCATATTGCTATTGTTGCCATTATAATTTCGATTGTAACATGAAGATGCTGTTGACCATCATCCGTTTCAGGTTCACGCGGTCGCCGCTTGCGGTTCCCTCTGGACGATATGTGGTATAGGATAGTCTTACACCACCACTACAAGATTCAATATTATTTCTTAAATTTTAAATGTCGCTTACAACAAAGTCTCGCAAAAT